TTAAGCTGATAAGAAACTTCAGCAAAGTCTCAGGATACAAAATAAATGTGCAAAAATCACAAGCATTCTTATACACCAGTAACAGACAAATGGAGAGCCAAATCATGAATGAACTTCCATTCACAATTGCTGCAAAAAGAATAAAATACCTAGGAATCCAACTTACAAGGGATGTAAAGGACCTCTTCAAGGAGAACTACAAACCACTGCTCAGTGAAATCAAAGAGGACACAAACAAATGGAAGAACATAGTCTCAGCTTTTATACTGACCATCTGTTTGGCCTGACAAGTCACCTTTGCATCCCAAAACCTCAGTGGCATCAACTTCAAATTGGAATCTTGAATATAAGGATCTTTAAAGATCTATCTAGCTCTAAATTTAGTGCTACATTTGTAAGAAAATTGAGAACATCAGTTAAGTATAATGCCATATTAATAATACTTTGTATTTATATATTAATAGTAGGATTCAGTTTATCATATGCTTTTTATCCTTGATCTCATTTGATCTCAATAACAACTTTGTGAAACATGTAGGGAAGTCATTAATATATAATTTATAGTTAAATATAGATGATATTTTTGTGGTCATTTCCACAAAAAGTACAGAAAATAATAGAGTAGATCCTAAGATTTGTTGAGTATCCACTGTGTGCTAGGTTTGAGGTAATGTTTCTATGGAAAAATTAGACTTAACTTGTAACTGTGTCAACTATTCCAAGAACATAAGTGACTGAATTTATGAGAGTTCCCTGTTATTCATTTATCAATGTTTAAGCCAATGATGTACATAGCCTGGGAGAGGACATTAGGGCTATGGAGAACTGTACAGGAGGTAGTTCCCTGCTGCAGTGGAGAGGAGACATGTGCCATTAGATAATTCAATTCTATGCATTAATGGGGGTGAAAGATAACCTGGATGATCCAACAGGGATAAACAGGTGGCAGTATAGCTGATCAATTTAGACTCCAGTCAGTGAAAATGCGTGATAAATTAGACAATGGTACAATTAGTGGACAGAGGAATACAACATCTGGAACCCCCAAATCTCCATCTGGAAAAGGTCATGACATGCTTATAATTGAGAACCCACCCTCTGAGGTGGAAGCTATTAAAAATGGCACACTGTGGATGAGATTCACTGTCTATAGGAGACCTTCCCAGGGGTAACCCATCCACATACTGGGTAACAGTGAAATTGTAGCATCTCATCAGGAACCTGTCCAACCTAAGAAGCATTTGATAAGAAGATGAAGTGAGTCTTTGGTTATGTTACAAAAAGTGGTCCAAGATGGTTGGGCGTGGTGGCTCACGTCTGTCACCAGAGCACTTTGGGAGGCCAAGGTGGGCAGATCACCTGAGGTCAGGAGTTCGAGACCAGCCTGGCCAACATGGTGAAACCCCGTCTCTACTAAAAATACAAAAATTAGCTGGGCGTGGTGGTGCACCTGTAATCCCAGCTACTCAGGAGGATGAGGTGGGAAAATTGCTTGAACCTTGGAGGCAGAGGCTGCAGTGAGCCGAGATTGTGCCACTGCACTCCAGCCTAGGCAAGAGAGCCTGACCTCATCTAAAAATAAAAATAAAAAATAAAAAAGAAGTGGTCAAGATGCTCAAAGGTGATAATAAAAAGTCAAATGCAAATAGAAATGTGGCGGGTCTTATCCAGGCTTCCTGGGAGAGTTAAGAGGATGCCCTGTCTAGGATCTGTGTTCTTACAGAGGACCTGGGTTCTCAGCAGCCGGCTATATTCTAGGACACAAACATCACAGAATGGTCATCATTCCAGTGTATCACGTTTCTCTCCCTTAAGTGCAAATTGACTGAGGGGTGGGCTTCTGGTTATTAACAGGCTTCCAGATGCAGTGATACTCAGAAACACAAGCATCCTCCTCTTTGTTACAGGTCTCCTGGAGAAGGAGAATAAATTGTCCTTTTGATTTACAGTTCAGCAGCCCCAGGCTGTCTGGATGACAGTGAACTGCCTCTGTGTGAACTGTCCAGGCTGTGAGGGTGATGACAACACCGAATGACTCAGTTGAAAACATCCAGCTCCATTTTGGACTCCAGTGTCTTTCAATGGCTGTTACTGGTCATTGAGGTGGGGACAATTCTTTGTCATGTAAGATTGTCCAACGCAGGCTGGACACTTAGTATCCCTGGACCCCGAGCGCTGAAGGCCATTAATACTTCCTGGTCATTGTGACAACCCCAAAGCAGTCCCCTCCACTCTAAAACTTGTCTCCCCTGCCCTCGGCCCAGCTGAGAGCCACTGACTTGACCGATGTTTACATTTGCTTAAATAGTTTGCTCTGGTTAGGGAAAGTTTTAGCCAAGGAAACTTTATGACTAGCTAGGGAGTCATATTTGTGAAAAATGAAACTGTTTCAATACAGTAGGAAGGCACTGGGCTCAGGTTCTGGAGATTCTTCTCTTTACACTAAACACTACGGATTTCACAGGGAGCCCCAAGATTGCAGTGGCCAGAGAGTTCAGGGAAGTGGACTCTTTATTTTGGAAGTCCAGTGGTGAAACCAAAGGCCCTCCCAAAGCCCAGCACAGTTTCCTGCCCCTGGTGGAGACATCTGGTTTTCTGATGGACAGCACCTACCTCCCTGGAGAACCCACTCCACAGGATTTTCTCCTCGTTGATGAAGAGTCTTTCTCCCTTCTTGGCATAGACATTGTAATACCCGACTTCCTTAAACACGATGGAGCCATCCTCTGGGGAGAGGTGCCAGTTGATGATGGAGTAGTTCCCCACCAGGTCACCACACTCATCAAAGGTCACCTGCTCCCCCATATTGTTGGTAAAGTTTAGGTGCCGTAGGTGCTTCAGGACCTAAAGAGGAGCAGAGAATGAGTACAAGCCACATGGCTGCCACATAGAACCAATTAGGTAGGCTGTGCCCTGTACAACGACGGTAAACTATCTTGTTCCAACAAAGTGGGAGGAATGTGACTTAAGGAAGAGGCAGCTTTTTCTAATTCACACCAAAGTACTTGCCTGTGTTAGCAGCAGCCCTGGTCAGCCATGGGCTTTAATTATTATTCAAATTATAATTAGGGTAGGAAACACTTTTTCGAAGATGGGGAAAGGAAAGGGAGACATCTCACCTGGCAACTGGCCAGGTCAAAGGTCCTGCAGGTGTGCCATCACCTGGCGGTGCCCCAGGAGGGGCAGGATTTATAAGCCAGAGCCCATCCCTGGCATCTTCTGAGCTGGGCATTGGGAAAGGAGAGGAGAAATGGCTGAGTGCACTTATTCTCTGCACTTTCTTTCCCTGTGATCCTGCTGCTGTGGAAGTGCTTTGCTGCCAAAATTCACAGAGTGGGGTGGAAGGAAGAAATAGATGAGGCTGTGGGTGAAGCTCTGGCCATTATTGCTGTCAGTCATGGCAAATCCTTGAATTTTTATAAGGTTTTCTATGTCACAAAGTCTTTGCACAAAAAAGTCATCATAATAATTACTAACACATATCACGTTAGTCATGTAAACATTTTAAATATCAGTCATTTTTACTACCATTGAGGCACGACCCTAAGTACTTTATATCCATTATCTAATCGAATCCTCACAACAAATAGTATTAAGCTGATCTTATTGCTGGGGAAACTGAGGCACTGAAAACTTTAAGTATCTCATCCAGGGTCCCAAGCCTGCACTGTTAATTGCTATACTCTACTGCAGCATCGCTGGACTCCTGGCTCTGCTTCCTCACATGTTCCTGACATCAGTCAAGAGGAGGCAGTGGGCACTCAGCCTCTTATCTTTCACGTGAGGCCAGCCTTGTGTCACTGTGACACCACATGAGAGTAAGGCAGGGTCCAGCTTGTGAGTGTAGGGCACAGCTTCCAGTGCACCTCCTGAGTCTCCAGCAGTCTTCCATTCTGAGCTGGTTTTTTTTTGGTTTTGTAGAGACAGGGTCTCACTATGTTGTCTGCACTGGTCTCGAACTCCTGGGCTCAAGTGACCATCCTGCCTCAGCCTCCCAAAGTGCTGGAGTTACAGGCATGAGCCACTGCGCCCGGCCATTTATCATTGTTTTTAAGGTACCTAAAATCCGATGTCTAATCTCACACTGAGACAACGTTTGGGCTGGGCCCATCTAGTGAATGGCCTTAATAGGCCTTTCTGAGGCGTACATTATTCTGATATGCGTGACAAACACGCGGAATGAGCCAGCACCTCTCCTGTCCCACTCCACTCCAGAGATGGCACTGCTTCTTAACAATTGATATCTGTATTGACTTTATTTTTAAACAAACATTGATTTATAGTAAGGAAGATTAAATACAGAAGAAGAGTCACTTGGATTTATCCATAAGTAGCTCCAAGATATGCCTGGGGAAGGAGTCCATGATAGACTGTGTGTGCTCACAGGCATAGCACCCTGGGCGCCTCCCCTAACCTGCAGTCTGTGACCACTGCTCCACTGGCAGGCCCTGACTGCCCTGGCTTTCCACTCAGGTCTATGAAGGAGAGGGACCCCTCACTCCCTGCTAGCTGGCTCTGCAACCAACTGCTGAGCCATCCTCAAAAAAGATGGAGAATACCTCTTACTAAGGGTTTGTGTCTTCTCCTGTGACTTCTCACCTTCTCTGATGGTTGACAACCTTGTTTGCCTTCATTTTTACTGAGGCCTTAAGGCAGTCAGTGGAGAGGAGGTGTTCTAGACATGCTCCTTTCTTTTACCTCCACCTCCACTTCCTATCCCTCCTCACTGTTGGGGTGACCTGACTTCCTCCTACCCAGAGTGGTGTACATCCTTTTGTCTCTACCCCAACACATCCCTGTCCTGACACATCCTTCTTGCCCTCAGAGGAACATGCAGTTCTTCTGCTCTTTAATACTGCCCCTCCTCCTGCATTGCTCGAAACCTTGCTCTTAGCAGCTCGGGGGCCTTTCTGACATGGCCAGCTCATCCTTCTCCATGCCGTAATCATGCCCCTCCCACTTCCTGCTGGGGACCTACCATGACTCAGATAAAATGTGCTTCAAACTTCTCCAGGTAGCTTCCAAAGCCCTCTATACTTTGAGCCCATGTACCTACCATGACTTGTCAGTGCAAATGTTTCATCCTAATCATAGAGTTTCCACTATCTTGTCCACATGCCATGTGTCTGTACATGTGGAAAAGGAGATGAGAAAAGTGAAGACGTAGGAAACTACCTCTTATTTGTACTTCCTATGTGCCAGTCACTCTTCTAATACTTAATACGCACTATGTCATTTAATCCTCACAACACCTCTATGGATTAGAATTATTAGTATCTTCATTTTCTAGATGATGAAATGGAGGCAGAGAAAGGTCAAGACACTTGCAAAAGTCATACAGCCACTAAGTGCTGGAGCTGGGGGTTGAATATGGCTTATCTACAACACCATCCTACACCTCTAATATAAATTGCTTACAGTGTCCGTGGCAAATATTTGTCAGAGGTCAGTAACACATCCTTATTGAAATGCATATATAGTGGTAAAGCTGTAGTAGTTAGCATACATTTCTTCCTCCTATTTAGGTTTCAGTTCCTTGGTTCTTAACATGCCAGGCAACAAGCTGCTTCTCTCCTTTGTCCACTAGTTCTCTGCAGTGGAACTCTCCTGGTATCAAGGTAGAAGTGGGGAGGGAAACTGAACAAGATCCTTTCATAATTAGCTGGTCATCTTTCACACTGGTCAGACTGGACAGACAAGTGACTTAAAGCTCATCCCTGGCTACAAGTCTTCTGCATTATTGGTGGCATGGGCTGGAGATTTCCACCATAATCCTAACTTCAAAGGAGAAACAATCAAAAATCACTTTCTTAAAGTTTCTAAGTATTCATTAAAAAACTCACAATACAAGACTGGATTTTTATACTATTGGAATAAATCAACTAGGAAATATTTACAAAATATTCACTGTGTGTTCTGAACTGGGCTGCCCAACTACAAGACATGGTTATCCCATCCTCATAGAGTTTTCATATGGATTAGGGGATAAAATACAAGACACAAATATTCAATGAAGCAGTAAACAGTACAAGATAAAATACAGGTAACTGCTAACTGATGGGGTATCATCTCTAAGTACAGAGAAACTCAGAGGAGATAGAAATTAAAAAGGGCTGAAATGATCAATGCAGGCTTGAGGCATAGTAAATATTTTGGCTGGGAAAGGACAGAGGGAGGGAAGGTGTTAAAAACTGTGGAACAGCATGGGCAAAGATACCACATTAGGAATAAACATGATGTGTTATGGGGCCAGTAAAGAGATCAATTTCTCAAGAATCATGTATGTCTAGAGAACAAGGGGAAATGCAGAAGATAAGTAAAGAGGAGCCAAGGCAAAAAAAGAGGCTAGATTTCATATCAAAAAGGTATGGGATTAGATAAGAAACAGGGCTGATCAAAATGTAGAGAACTTGGGATCCTCCATAGACTGCTGGTGGGGATGTAAACTGGTGCAGCCACACTGGAAAAAATGTTTGGCAGTTCCTTAAAAAGTTAAACATAGAGTTATCATTTGACCCAACAAATCTACTTGTGTGTGTATGTGTGTGTGTATGTGTGTGTGTGTGTGTGTGTGTACATACCTAGGAGAAATAAAAATATATGTCCACACAAACATTTGTACATAAATGTTCATAGCAACATTACTCATAACAACCAAAGGTGAGAACAACCCAAATGTTCATCAGTTGGGTAAATGTATAAATAAAATGTGGTATATCCACACAGTGGGATACTATTTTGCTATAAAAAGGAATGAAGTACTGATACATGTTATAATATGGAAGCAGCAGCCAGTCACAAAAGATCATATGTTTTATGATTTTATTTATGTGAAACATCCAGGAAAGTCCAAATGTACAGAAGCAGAAAGTAGATCAGTGTTTGTCTAAGACTGGGGCTTTGGGGGCCTAGGGAGTGACAGTTAAAGGGTATGCAGTTGCTTTTTGATGTGGTGAAAATGTTCTAAAATTGATTGTGGTTATGGTTGCATAACTGTGAATATATTAAAAACCACTTAATTGTATACTTTAAATGACTGAATTGTGTGACATGTGAATTACATCTTATAAAGCTGTTACAAAAAGGAAGGCATGGAAAAGGACTTTAAAAATCCAAATATGACTTAATTATTGAAACTGACATTTGTAATTGGCAGGAACCTTGATAACAAGGTAGCCTCTAGGATACTTGGTGTAGCGAGTTGAGTAATGAGACATGGCAAGTCCAACTTTGGATGTGGCAGGGAGATAAAGGGTAGGCAGGAGGGAAGACATGGCAATGTAAACATCTTATCTGGAGAAGGAAGCACCCCAGAATCTTTGTGGCTAGGAATTTTGTACCTACACTTCATTAGACCAAACTTCTCCAAAGCAGGAACTGTGTTATTTCTTTCTGTATCTCCAGTGGTTTGTAGAGGGCCTAGATTTTAGTGGATACTCAAACTATGTCTTTTGAGTGCATGATTAATAGAATAGATATTAAACCTGTAGGTATCTAGCATGACTATGTGGACAAGTGGTGCCCATGAGGAGGTTTTTATCAGTCTGAGGATAAATGAGAAAAATAAGGTCAATAAGGCATCTGTATTAGCTGAAAGAAGTAGGCAGAAAATCAATAAAAATATGAGACTTAAAAGACTTGGACAGTACTATCAACCAACTTGATCTAATTGATAATTACAGAACAGTCATCCCAACAACAGAATATACATTCTTTTCAAGAACACAAAATATTTATCAAGATAAATCATATTCGGGATTATAAAGTGAGTTTTAATAAATTTAAAAATATTAATATTAAACAGAGTATGTTGACTCCAATGGAATTAAATTAAAAACAAATCA